ATAGTTTTTGTTATGATGATAAATTTACTGAGCGATGAATCAAAGTGCAAATGAGTCACATTATTAGAAATATAACGATAGGCCCTCAGCGTCGCCATTCACTGCTGGTTTTTATCTTGCAAAGAATGTCCGGAGATTTAAGGCAAAAATTGGTTAAGCTAATACCAAATATTAACGCTGATTTAGGATAAGGACGATTTTATTGGAAAATCCTGCCTGGGAACGGCGTTTGCTTAAATTGAGTGCACTTCCAGCACTTCCTTATAGGAGCATTCTTGGTGGACATTGCACCGGGCAGGCCGAAGCTATCAAAATTCACTAGTACATCTACTGCTCGTCCCTGATAACAACAGCTATTCTAATAATATTGCAAGACTACTTGTCTCTTATTTGTTCAAAGAGTCTGCCTATCAAATTTTGTCTTCTCTTTCCTGTTTCGTGTAATCATTAATTGATCTACAATCGTTCAAGCTTACTGAAACTATTTTACTTTCACTGCCGTCCAATTTCATGTCATCTGCACAAATGTACGCCTAATTCTGGGTATATTAAGCCTACCCGCCTCCTGCCTTTCAATTTTTAACGGTGTTCATCTTTACCAATAGTTACCCTGATTGAAACTATCAACGACCTCTCGTACTCTCGAGCCAAGCGATGTTGGTATGTGGCAGCCTAACTGGCTATTTGATTATCTGCAGCGTTTTACTTATCGGTAATTATCAATAAATATGATGACTCCCTGAAATCTGAACCTAATTATCTTGTACTTCTCCCCTACAATCCTACTTTTGCTTACCTTTCTCCCTACCCTCCTCTCAGGTCATTTGCTTGGCGCAATAATCGATAAGCGCATCGACGACTGTCTATTCAGTATTGCCGCAAGCATATTGTTCATTGCCTCTGGCACCATTTTTATTGAGCGTTGGACCAGTCATTATCATGTGCAGTCCAGGGATCGTAATGCGATAAAGGGTACAGCTGCATTAACGATAATAACTGCGGTTATATTTATTGCTGACTCAATTGTTATTTTACGCCGTTAAAATGTATCGCACATAAGTATGTTTGCATGTAAGCATGTATATTAATATGTAAACTTAAAAAACGTATAAATGTGCCAAAGTTTTGATAAGGGATTAAAAGTCAATTATACATACACATAATTTATGTACGTATATCACTGTGTTTTTATTCAAAGTGTTCATTAATATGTACTTACAATTTTATTCATTTAATTCATGCTTGTTAAGTAATTCGAAATATGTACATAAAAATAAAAATATTTTTACCACAATTTATTTGTAGGGCATCGCGATCGCCTGCATTGTGCTATGGGAGACCTCTGGCGACCTCTCCTCAAGACCGCTGATTGTTTGCGGTACTTTGGGAGGTTTCACTATCATTTGCGGTGTACTGCTGATTGGTGAGTAAAATAGTATTTGGTGTTCTATTAAGTCACACATACTTACAAATGTATGTAAAAGAATTAACGCTTAAACTTTAGCTATCAAAAGCCTAGAAAAGCTAAATATTAATACACTCCGGTTATCTTGAACCCGGTTCTTCCTGCCGCCCTTTTTGTAGCACCTGTGGTATGAATCAGTGTGTTTTTGTTTTTTGGAATATTTAGGTAAAAGGTCCAAGCGTATGCGAAAACTGTTGAAATGATATTTCTTAAATTTTTTGCACGAATTTCGCACAACTTTAGAAAATTGAATTACGTTCTCATTTATCTTTCAGATTCTAGAGTTTAATCAAACAACGTGTCTCCTTTCAAAAAGGGTCGAAGAAATTGTCTGAACCGTTAGAGCTATAAAAACTCCTGTTTTCGCCGAAAAAGCACCAATTTCCAGTCGTCCTTTAAAGGCATGTTAAACGAAAACTTTCCTGTCGTGATTGTTAATATTCTGCAAATTTGAGGATTTTTTTAATTTCAAAAAAATAAAAAAATACTAAGAGCCATTCTTCTTCAATTTCGGTCCATTGTATTATTGCATTAATTTTGATAAAAATAAAGCTGCTGCAGTTACCACAAGTCCAAATATAAGCTCAGATTTCTGCAGAAAAAATATCCCTATTCAATTACAAGTATATAAAATACTAGATCGCCCTCACCCGCTTCGCTGAGTGTATGAAATTTCTACGTGATACATTGAGTAAAATTTATTTCAAGAAAACTCAATTAAAAAACAGGAGGTTTAAAATTTACTAAAATAAACTTATCCCCTGAACTCAATTTGAGATTTTAAACAGATGGAAACCTCTTACATGTAGTTTTGAAATTAATTCATTTAAATCATTGAGTAGTTTGAATTTAAATTTTCAAACAGTTGGCAACCTTTTTCATTCATTCAAACCCATTTAGATTCATACCAATCTTCTACAACAATATATATTTTGAAAGCCGTTTTTTATGTGTTCGCAAAGCTCGAGAACGGCCGAACCGTTTTTTTTGAAATTTCGGATACCTGCTTCAGACGTCCCAAGGATGGTTATAGGCTAAAAATTTTGATATATGAAGGGCCGTGGCACTTCCCATACAAACCGATTTTTTCATACTGCATATCTCTGGAAGTGTTCACGGTAGAATACTGGAACTTGGTACGGCAATATATGAAATCAATCTTATACTCATGGAGAAAAATGGGCCATTTGAAAAGGGGTCATGGCGCCGCAAAAAAGTTTATATATAATTCTTGTGTCTGTGTGTTGGTGAGTGAAATCCTTCTAAATGCCCTGACCGATTTTAACGATGTTTATTGTGTACTTTTGAGTGGCTCTCTGGAGAGCGTAGTTTCAAAACTTCACCCGCCAGTTGGCGCTGTAGTGAAGTTATTACTAAAAATTTTATTTATTATCCACTTCAAAATATTTATTGGTAACGGTAAAGGCAATACTATTGC